CTAGCGAGTGGAAAAACCTGGAAAAGCAATCCCTACCCAACTTACTGCTAGAGCAGCCTGGCACTGAAATGCTATCTCAGCCAGGCAAACAATTCAAATCGGTTTCGAAACAGCACCAAAACAACGGAACGTACATGCAGCCTTTCAGGTAACTAGCTGCTAATCTCTTCACTCAAAACACTGACAGCTGCCTCTTAATGAAGCTTCACTTTATGAAAGTCGAAAGCACCTGGCGACCTAGGCCGAATAGCAGCAGATACCACGAACATTCCCCAGCCGGCAACCTCTTCTTTTGAGAATCGCTTAGAAGCAAACTGATGGCGGTTTTGACTTTCCGCATATGCCAGTACTAACCGTATAACGTCGAAACACAAGAATCGTCCAAGCATGGTTTTCGCAATGATGGACGCAAATTTTCAACCTTAGAAGTGGGAGTAGGGGCACGAAGCCCGCTGCTTCCTAGGCAAAAGAAAAAAAAAGAAGTTTTGTGACTAAACTGGGCTTTTCTTAAATGAACTGTTGTTTTTTTTTTGAACTCATAAAAACACACATGGACAAGGATCAGCTGGATGTCCGATATTAATGAGTAGCTCGCCCGGATCGGGGCCCAGTCTTCTCCCGTATCCTTCCAGAATCTGTATTTTTTCTGAAGTTTGAGAATACTGCCTCACAGTGAATGTTGCTGTATATGGAGTTTTGTCGAGCAGTTCAACTGCAAAGAAAAGTCATAATGACGTCTCAATGAATTTGCTGAAGAATTAGACAGGACACAGTGGACTCAGACATCCTATTTGAACGGAATGAAAGTTCTTAAATTCAAGAATTTTACCGAATTTTCTAAGAATTAGTTAAACTTCGAAAATGCAACTAAAAACTCACAAAAAAATACAGCGCACTGCTCGCGGTGAACGCTCGGCGTGTCGACCACCTACAACAGATCCGAGCATTTTATTGGGGGTTTGAGGAAATGTTTTTTTTAAAAAAACACTTGTCAGAAGCATTAAA